ATATATCTACAGCATAAACCTGCAACAACAAACTATAGAGATCCTTCAACACAACATCTTCTGCTTGGAACAACATGCTCTGTTCTCTGTTCCTGAATGTGCCACTTATCTAAGTACTGCAGTAACCTGTACAGAATAAATTGATTGATGTTCAAAAATCCTTGTCTACAATTCATTCTAATTAGATAACTGTATTAGAAAGATAAGTGTGAGGCTCAGGAGCAGAACATTTTCTGGATTAGAAAATAGAAGAAGAACGGAAGAACAACTCCAGCCAATACTTTTGTAGAACTTCAGCCAGCTTTTATTTCTGGTTGTGTCCCCGTTGGAGAGATTTCGCTTCCCCTTTTTATTCCTGCGAACCGCCAGGACAAGAAATGAGGGGAGCAAATGTCACCAGCAAAGGAGACACAGACAGCAATCAAAACCTAACCATTCCATACTCTTTTATGGGGTCCATTTAAAGTGCAGCACAGCTGTGTGCTTTACATTGTGCTCCACTGGCTTTGGAAGTCTGCCGGCAAAACAGTTTTGGTTCTGTAAGCAAAGAGCACTTTCAATCAGAGGGAGACTGTCTCTCTCTCTAAATGAAAGTTAACATTACCCTCACAAGCGAATGAGTCAGAGAAGTCACCTTCTGCTTCTAGCAGTTTTTGATCTCCAGGGATTACATGAGTGCATTGTTGCATAGAAGCAAACAAGGCAAACGTAAACAAGGCATTGCTTAGATCCAAGGCAACCAAGCAACTTAGCAAATAAAACCGCCTACTTGTGTCTTTCTTTCCCTGCGTTTTGAGAGCTGTCACCATAGGCCAAACGCCTATGGTGACAGCTCTCAAAACACAGGGAAAGAAAGACACAAGTAGGCGATTTTAGTTGCTAAGTTACTTGGATGCCTTGGATATATTAAAATAGCAAATGCGTTTTAAAGTGACATTATTGTCCCAATTCCACCCCTCCCCCCTCCAATGCTGGTGTAAGGACTTACCTTAAATGATGCCTCTAGATCTGATCATCTTCTTTCCTGTAGTTTTCAGGAGTCCCTCCAGCGCTGGTGCAGGTCTCTGATCCAGCGCTGACACCTCTCTCTTCCGGTCCCACGGAGTATGTGCGGGTGCGCGCTGCCTGGATAGACTTACCTTGTGTCTCTCCTCTTCTCCCGGCCGAACATCTGAACTGTGCATGCACCCGTCCCATGATTCTTTGTGGCCGCCCGAGACTCTTCAGATCTTTGGATGGGAGCGTGTGGCGGAGACACAAGTAAATTTAAACCTATTTGGTCCTTTCTTTAAAAGGTTTTTGCATAGATCTACTGGTCGCTAGCAGTAGATATATGCAGAGAAGCGCGAAGGTTTAATGACCCTTTTAAAGTCAAAAGGTTTTTAAGCTATTTCAAATGCTGATGAAACCACTTACAATGTATTCTGCTTCTTGATATTTAAAAGTTTTAGCTTCCAGCAGAATCAGCTGGTCCCCTGAGCACTGGTCCTGATATCCTATTTTAGGGGGGCTCCTCTTCCTTGCAGGGTTCTATGGAGCCACCCTTGTGTGTGCTAGTAAGCTGTGTGTGTCTCCACAAACAATAGGCAGAGCAAAGCAAGCCATTACCCTGCTCCCCACTCATCTTTACTCCAGTTAGTAGATAGACAACCGCTGGACACTGCTCTGTCCCTCGTGAGCTTGCACTGGACAGGAAGTTCAGGGAACCTGAGCTGAGAGAATAGGAGCCAGCTTTATGGAACATGATGATGGTAAATGCTTGGGTAAAAATGTAAAGAAATACTTTGCTGGGCAATGTAGATTTGTTTGTTCTGGATTTATTATTGAAAAAAGTATGAGAGTTTCATATTACTTTAAATGTAACTCGCATTGGAATACAGGGACCTGGCTGTGGTTTCTGCCAGAAGTGTCTGCTGCATCATTGGCTTCAGAGAAATATTTTGGCAGGTAATAGAGTTCAGGTATATTTATATCTAGGTTGTGTGCCTGGAGATCAGCTTTAAGCAAGGGCAATGTCAAATATACACTTAGGGGTCTAAATGTGTAAACAATTAGCAGAGCCTTTGGCCCTTTGAATCTTAGTGAATGTTCGTTATGTGCGAATAGATGCACAAGATGTATTTTGGAATGTCATCTTGTAATACCATATTATGGACACTAGATTTTGCTGGGAAGCATAGGAATGAAGTAGTTGTTGTTATCAGCAGCTGCATCTAGTGGCCATAATTAGGTATTACAAGATGACATTCCAAAATTACTAGAAAATATAACAAGAACGTTTGCTTCTTGCATCCATTCGTATGGAACGAACACTGTGTGAATCTTCACAGAGATTTTCAGGACCAATGGTTCTACCAATTGTTTATAATTAGACCTCTTTATATTGACCCTGCAGTTTAGAAAACACTAATAATTGCAGATACTCTCTGTGTGGCACAGAATAACTCATCAACAATCTGATCTGATAGCGGATGGTAAATATTGTTTATCACTATCTGATGTAAAGGGGGACTTCTGATGTGAAGAGGATCTCCTAGTGTGAGAGGAGGTGCCTCTGATGTGAAAGGAGGGGGCTCCTGCTGTAAAGGGCTACTAATGTAAAGAGGGGCTCCTGATGTAAAGGGGAACTGTGATGTGAAAGGAGGGGCCCTGATGTGAAGTGGGCTCCTAATGTGAATGGGGGCTCCTGATCTCCTGATGTAAAGGGGAACTGTGATGTGAGGGGCCCTGATGTGAAGTGGGCTTGAATGTGAATGGGGGTCCTGATGTAAAGGGGAACTGTGATGTCAAAGGGGGGGGCCTGATGTGAAATGTGAAGGGGGGCTCCTGATGTAAAGGTGGACTGTGATGTCAAAGGGGGTAGGCCCTGATGTGAAGTGGGCTCCTAATGTGAATGGGGGCTCCTGATGTAAAGGGGGACTGTGATGTCAGGGTAGGGAAACCCGAACACTCTAGCGACACGTGGACATATTTTTTTAGGAGAATGAGTTGTGGCTTATTCATATGTAAAAGGAACCACCCATTAATATGTAAATATCACAGTTGAGACTATTTTTAGTGGGGGGCCAGTAGCCCCTATCTTAATTTTGGTTGCCCCTGTCTACCTGACATCCTGTGTCCGGTTCCTGGTGCCATGAAACCGGGACACAGCATTCAAAACCCGAACTGTCCGGGTGAATCCTGGACAGGTGGCAACCCTATGTCGGGGGGCTCTGATGTGAAGTGGGCTCCTAATGTGGAGTGGGGCTCCTGATGTAAAGGAAGACTGTGATGCCAAAGGGAGGGCACTAATGTGAAGGGGGGCTCCTGATGTAAAGCAGGGACTGTGATGTCAAAGGGGTGGGCCCTGATGTGAAGTGGGCTCCTAATGTGAAAGCAAAACCCCACTTTTAAAAAATTTTGAGTGGGGTCCCCCCCCATAGGATCCACATCAGAGCCTTATCTTAGATCACATTGATCTTTACATTTACGGGTTTTTACATTTTAGAATCGGGTGCCTGAAGATTTTGCGCCCTTTTAAAGGGTGCCATGGCTAAAAAAAGATTGAGAATTACTGGTCTGGAGTTTAGCTTTACAAATAAAACAGGGATTTGGCTATGAGGTTGATATTAAAGGCTTCTCCAGGGACACCTCCCCAAAGCTTGAAATCATTCGAGAAAATCAGGAACAGCAGACATCTCCCCCTCTCCTCTCCCAGACTTGACAAACCTCTGCATTTTAAAGAACGAGACAGACGTGGTTGCTATTATTTATTATAATTAGTTATATAACCCAAAAAAAAAAAATATTAGCTTGTCATTTTGAATGATTCGCGGAGCCAATTCAGTCCATTATTCCATGAAGGATCTGCCTCGTCCTTTTAAATCTTCTCCGAAAATCTCACCAATGACACCCGTTGAATCTTAACAGTAGCTCATTCTGCAACTAAACAGTCTCGGGTTAACCATTTCTCAGCAGCACACAAGTAGCTCAATGTCAATAAATTCTTATCTAATTATTTAAAATTCACTAACTATATTGTATTTTATTTTTAAAACTAATAACGGAGGAACAGACGTCGTCCCTCTCCTGGCAGTCTCGTTTTTTTTGCAGTTATTAAAAAAGGATGGTTGTGTTATCCAATCGAAACGCTTATTTCTGCCCACCGTCTGACAAAAAAAAATTGAGAAAAGGCGATGCAGAGCCATTCCTTGCGAGTTTTTCTGATTGGCTAAGACAGTCTTCATGGATACAGTGTACTTGTCGCCTCCTCCACACCTGTCAAAACAGCACTATAAAATCCTCTTCAAACTTGCGTGGGGGGGGAGCACCTGGCATTAATATTCCGAGCACACAAGTTTCGTCCTACGGTTGTTATTTGGAAAATAAAAGGAATATGAACACTAATAGCCTCAAGTCGTCGTGA